CCACAACCGGCGAACAATTCAAAACCACTTTACAAGATCTAGTAACTACTGCTCCTCTTTACAACCACATAACTTTGCCCACTCCGTTCAGAACTGGTAACAGGCCATTTGTGTTGGATCTTGTGCTTACCAACGAGGAGCATATGATTGATGCGTTGGTTTTAGACTGCCCGTTGGGTCGCAGCGATCACGCAGTCATCAGTTTCAACTTCGTCTGCTATGCAGAATATCGGAATGATAACGATGATACTGTGCGAACCATCACAAGGTACGACCGACTCGCCCAGATAGTCAGCGCTCCTACATGGTCTTTCCTCGAAGAAGAACCCCCGGAAGTCGCCTGGCTCGAGTTCGTCAAAACATTCAGTCAGCTGATTATACAGGCTTCAGAGATAAAAGCTTGCAATAAGTGCAAAGCCGTTTCTTTCGTTAGGAGCAGAACCCGAAAATGGATGACAGTACGCAACGCAGCATGGCGAGTGTACAAAGAAGCTCCAGCACCAGAAACGTGGAACAACTACGTAGCCCAACGTAACCACTGCACTCAACTGTTAAGAGAAGACAAAACCGCCTATCAGCAGAACATCGCAAAAACCTTCAGTGCTAACCACAAACTGCTGTACAAGCACGTTAATAGCCTACGAAACGTTAGGCAAGGATTTCCTCCACTCAAGACGGCTGAGGGCCAAACAAGAACGTCTATGGAAGCTGCAAACGCGCTGCAGATGCAATACGCCCCCATGTTTCAAAGGGTCTTGCCACCATGCGATCTACCAAGCTTTGTCTTCTGCTCACCAGGACTAACCAACATCAGTTTTACCGCAGAGGCTGTATTGCAAAAGCTGACTTCTCTACGCAAACACAGCTCGCCGGGTGTCGACGCCATTCGTCCTGATGCATTGGGAGTGGCAGCAAACCAACTGGCAGGACATTTAGCTCAGTTTTTCCATCACTGCTTAGACCAGAACCAAGTTCCCGCCATGTGGAAGCTTAGAATAATAACCCCCATTCACAAAGGTGGAAGCAGAACTGATCCCTCAAACTACCGCCTAGTAACCCTTCTTCCTATACTCCCCAAGGTCATGGAATCCATAGTTGCCGATAAACTGGTGTGCTATCTGGAAAACTGCAAACTCATCACTCCTGAACAGCACGGTTTCCGTCGACAGCGGTCATGTACAACTAATTTACTAATTGCACTCAGTAGTTGGACCGAGGCAGCCGATGCTGGAGATGGTGTTGATGTGATCTACCTGGATTTTTCCAAGGTTTTCGATCGTCTAGACCATCGGATACTTGTATCCAAGCTGCAGCATTAAGGGATCGGCGACCCTCTTTTAAGCTGGATCGCCAACTTTCTATTTCAAAGGCAATAATGGTCAGAGTTCGGAGCTCTTTATCAGACCCCATACAAGTCGAGTGTCGTGTGCCGCAAGGCTCGGTTCTAGGTCCACGTTTGTTTCTGGTGTTTATTAAGGACCTTGCACAGGGAATCGCTTCAAACTTCCTAATATTTGCCGACGATATCAAGATCTGGCGCAGGATCCAGGCGAACGCCGACCAACTTGTGCTCCAAAGTGACTTAGATCCAGTGTATCAATGGTCGATCCAAAACTTATTGCATTTCAACGTCAGTAAATGCAAGGTGCTTTCCATCCGACATCACGGCAGCTACTCATACCGACTCGGAACGGATGTACTGCAACAATCAACTCTCGAACGTGACTTGGGTGTCCTGGTTCAAGATGACTTGGGTTGCTCCAGGCAATCCGAGAAGGCCTCGAAGACCGGGAACCAACACGTTGGGCTGTTGAGGCGGGCGTTTGGACAAATAAACAGCTCCATATTTCGACAAATGCTCAGTGCGTATGTTCGCCCCCATGTCGAATACGCAATTCAAGCCTGGCATCCATGGCTGGAACACGACCTGAATGCACTGGAGCACCCTCAACGCCGGGCATTTACGAACGTAACTGGAATGCGCAATCTGTCCTACCAGGAGAGGCTGCAACGACTAGGATTGTTCAGTGGAAGCTATCGCAGGCTACGAGGCGACCTGATTATGACATACTTGATTCTGCGAGACCCACATCATGTGTGCCGCCCTTTACTGCAACTCAGCAGCAATACAAACCTGAGGGGCCACTCATTAAAACTCGCAGAACAATACAGTCGTCTGGAGTGCCGCAGCAATTTCTTTTCCGTTCGTGTCGGTCACCCGTGGAATGCTCTGCCAGAATCGGTCGTCTCTGCACTGACACTAACAATATTTAAAAGACGGTTGGATGATGCACTCATCCAATTACACTTTGTTATTGAACACTATGTCTCCATCCTACACCTGGAGTTTACCATGGAATTATTTGTTGTTAACTGTGAGTGTTGTGAATCTTACTGGATCGCAGGACTGCAGCGAAGCAAACGATAAGTCCTTATTTTCGTATTTAAAGTGTTAACTATTTTACTATCCTTTTCATCATAATTATTATGTTGATATCCCCACCAACTATCCAACGGGGCTTGTAAAGCAACGCTTCTTAACCCATATAAATTCATTGTTCATTGTTCATTGTAATGCTCCCACCCTAACCTTTTTCAAAACACGCCTTGATCATACTCTGTCATATTTACTCTACGTGCTATTGCCCATGACAACCGGATGCTGGCACTAATGCACGTCAGACAATGGACAGTGCCATAACCCTAAAGGAGAATGAGTCACTCCAAACCCCTTGCACACCATGTGATTAACGCTACTTTTGTAAAAACTGGATTTCTGTATCCCGTCGACCCGAGATAGCTGCACACGTGTAAGAGCTGTCCTTGCTATTTTTCCATTTTTTCTCACTTACTGCGTGATCTATAACCACTTCCTTTATCGCTTTGTCCGCGCATATGCTAGTTCCAAACTCCCTTTATACGACCGTGCAATTACATCTGTAATCACTCGAACCGACGATTCCATTACCCCTGAGCTATCTTTTCTCACTCTAACCACCCTACGGAACGTGTCAAGCCCTTGCGTTTTTACCCGTTATAAATCTTTGTTCATTGTCCCGTATCGATTTCCATTTGCAACTTTTGTCCTAAATTTAATGTAATGTAACGTACGGTCGCTGCTGCCTGTAGGGAACTTAATTCAACTATATGAAATGGAATTCAGACTCGCTCCACTCCGACACATCTACTGTTTTCATGGGCTTTGTTCGTTGATGAGTCCCGTCCAAAAGACGTGTGATGCATCTACATTCTCGCGCCAAGTGATCTATCTTTTAGTAACTCCTGCATATTGTCTTTTGATATTAACAGTCCGATGGACAACTATGGCGCTATGCACAATGATAGCATACGACCGAATTGGCATTATTAGGTAGCTTCTAAGATTTGGAATAATATTCACCAGTTTCCACTTCCGATGGATCCTTTAGAGTGAAGCTTGTTGGTTACTAGACAACCTTTTTCCTCTGTCGCGAAAAATTCCGGCTGTCTTCCACGTCAACGAAGTCATCTTGTGAAGGAAATTTTTTCTGGGCCTTCAGGTATGAAACCTCAGCAATTATGCACTAGAGCAGCATGATCTCTTCAAACACAGGTGGACTGATTTCATTGTACGTACAGTTTGGTACCGCATGAAGCCTACGAGTGAGGACTTTTGGGGCGAGTTTGATGAAGTATTTGGCTGTAAACACACTTTGGCAAACCTTTCAAGGAGTGCTGAGTGTATCCAGGTAACGGGTCGTAAAAGTTTTATCTTGTTTTTTCCGAAGGAGACACTACCGGATTCGAGATGGATGGCAAATATAGATAAGCAGGAAAAGATTTTGCCCATGATTCTAATTCTCCAAAGTCGGTTTGTTGGTAGAACAAGACCAGAATTTGGTGGAGTGTTCGTCGCAAACCAGCTATCCAACCTACGTCACCATATGTCAAGAGGCGAGGTTAGCCGTAGTAACAACACGCGGCCAGACAGCAGGAAGGAGCACGTGTAAGAATTGCAGTATACCCAGAAAATACCACAGAGCGTTTGACAGCGTAGGAAGCGCATCTGTGCGTGCATACGAGTACGTATATATGTACGTACATTTTAAACCAGCGTAAGTCATTAACCGTTACTCGAAAAGTGACACAGTTACATCAGCATTTATAGTTAACTCTAGTGATGTATCTTCGAACACAAAATTCTCGCTTTTGAATCGATTGCTCATCTGTGTAACAGCATTGGATAAGCTAATCAGTGGACTATCCGACAAACCGAAGATTGTTCAAGTAGGATATTTCCCAAGGAAGCTGTAGGGAAATCTATGTCTTTCTATTCCCGCCCATGGTTTGCGTTTCTTGTCATTCTCCAGGCTGTTAACCACAATATCGACCAACTAAGCGATCACACGCATTATTCCGATTTAAAACGCTAACAGCATCACCGTACAAAACAACTGACACTGCAGAATGTAAGATTAAGGGTTCAGTCTCGTGGGAAGTAGTTTCGCAGTTATAACAAATCTCGCTGACCATTAATGTTGCAAACTTCAACTGCGCATTTGCACCTATTGTCAAGGAGCAAGGAACAAAAGGACGCAGAAGTGGCTTTTAAACTAATCCAGTACACAAAAGACTGCGTATTTGGCTTGGAGATATCAGACATAACCTCATACTTGGCCCCGTTATCAAGCGTATCTCAAACGGTGACCTTCCTCACTTCTTCGAGGTTGCAACTCAAACAGGCCACACCGTGTTACCCTAGTCACGTTAATACCTCCTTACACACAAATTTCATTTTGCATGTTATTATCTTCTGAATATAAATAATTATGCTAGCATCGCCTTTTAGGCTCAAATAATCATGATGCTCTAGTTGATGCACCAATTATTCTGCTAACACTGGGTTTGCGAACTCAACTAACATTACCTTAGATAAACCCTCTGAGATTATGAAACAATTTTGTTCAAAGAAAACTCAGAATTTGTCATTTAAATGGGCCGAAAATAGAAAAGGAACTTACTTGTGACAACAGGCACAGTTGAAAACAAATTTTAAAGCTGATTAATTAACTTATATAGGAACTGGCATAGCAATTGGATGCAATTTTCTATCACTGCTGACACGTCGTGCATGTTCCACTATTCATGTGCCCCTCTATACGCATATAGAATGCTTGTAGCTCTGAATACCCTGTACAGGTGAAATGGTGATTTGATGAATTCCGTCCCCAATAAGAACTCGAACTAGAGAAACAGGCCCAGACATTACTGGAATTCCTCCTATATGCTATTCCTCAGAATACTTCGGCGAGTGCTGTAGTTTGGAGTAAAGAAGCACTCATACTTATACACACCATGCATTGTGTAACAGATGTTAAGTAACCAACAGCATTTCGCTACCAGACTGTGTCAGGAGCCCACGGGCAATTGAAATGCTAATGGACCTTGATTGGACAATCGAATCCTTTGCTTGGTGCGCTCTGAATGAAAGTTAGCTGACGATAGCTCTACCAACCTGATGCCAGGGGGAAACATGTCCAGCTAATCAGTTGCATTAAACTGTCAAGTTGACACAAACATATATTAATTGAATGCTTAGTTGAATACTTACCGACCTAGGTAGAAGTTACATTTATGTCGCCTCCTGTGTCGCATGTTAAATCTGTCCAATTTTGATTTAATGACAACCTCGTGTAAAGTTGGATTGACAAGTGGCACTAACACCATCCCCTTGTAGTCACCACATTAGTTATTCTGCTTAAACAATTGTACCGGAAAGTAAAACTTCACTGGGCTTGTTGACAGTGAATTCTGAGCACTTTATACACTCATTTTTCACTATTAATGGAAATGAATGCACTTTGTCCAAATTACACCAGGTTCCCACTTACTTTACTGGACTAGCTAGTAGATTAGTCTGCCGCTTCGAGTGCTAAAGCATTTTTATGCTACTAAATTGCGCTTGGATGCCAGTTGCTCATGAATTATTTAAAAACTATAACCCTTAATCCATTGTGTTTGGTAAAATTATCATAGTTTGGTCTCTTGTTGGCTGCTAATGTGCGGTATGCAATCAAGTACGGTGTATAACATACCAGTAAGAAGATGACCCCGTTGTGTTTGCCCCGTTTTACTCTGGACTTGTAATAAAGTAAACCGACGCAGAGGTTCACAAACAACTCAAAACAAATAGTGATTATATTGTACTGATTACGCAGCAGTCTCTTTGACTAACTGATTGATATTGTTGTTGATAATCCTCCAACCGGAGGGCCAAGTTTGGACTACACGTGTGGGAATGGATTGCGACGTGCAATCTCAATGTTATGGGCCGCGATTCACATTGAAGTGAACCTTAGCCACTGCGATCACTGGGACCGTACTCAAAGCAGCTGGAAAGTGGGTGTTGCATGCCCGAAAACAATGCACAGCCACGACGCGTTTCGATGTAATTTCATCTGAACGGGTTATAACAGGCCTTGAACCCGCGACTATTGGAATAGTAACCGAAACCTCTACCCCTTTGGCTACCGGGTCACGGTGGGCAACGCTTTTTGCACAACGGTAAATGACTAATTGGAGGGTCAAGTTTGGACTACACGTTGTGGGATTGGATTGTGATGCGCAACCTCAATGGGAACCGCGATTCACATTGAGGTGATCACTGGTCACTGCGATCACTGGGACCGTAGTCAAAGGTTTCAAGTCGCGGTTCTGTCACCTGTATTTGGTGAATGAAAATGACTAGGAACTTGGTCGTGTGGCGAACAGTTGCGAGCGTGCAACGCCTAATAATCTTATGCTTCAGATGTCCTCCTAGGGGTTGAACTGACTCAGATTTCCTCTAAATTTATTAGTTCCCATTGGTTCATGGTGCATAGGAGCGGGTTTTAAGCCCAAGATATTCCTACAAGACACGGGTGGCTGCTATGACCCAATGAGACAAAACGATTCTCTAATAGCTGCTTCTGGCTCTGCTTAACAGATTTTGAGTTGTAAGCCAAATACAATTGATAAGTGCATGTGCTCCGTTTCGCACACACTATAATTGCTGGTTGGGCTCAAGTAGCATGATTCAGCTTACGGCGAAGGGTGATAACAGCTTGTTTGATCACGCATTGTGACTATACAGGAGCCTGCTTGCGTGGGGCCACCAAACCTGACACAAACTTAGTAGACACAAGGTTGAATGTGCCCCAGTAACATCAGAAGAAGCAAATGGCTAAAACTGTTTTCCCACATGGTTGAAGCACGTTACGGAAATAACGATGGTTATTTGGATCATCAAGGCTACGGAGCACATTTGGTTTGAAGTGACCATTTATGATAGTATTAAAATTTGTCTACGTCCATTCGCTTCGGAGTAGAAGATATCTCGCTGAGCTTAAATAGGAGTAAGTCAGACGGATTCCAGCTTGGCGCCTAATGTCATACCGAATCCATATTTATTACTCTGACTAAATTAACTGGATAAGGTTACTCGTTCCTACTTGCAAAGCCCAGTTTTCTCATTATTTTAGTTACAGTTAAAAATGGGCAAAATAATAATGCTGCATTCTGAACGAATTTAAAAGGTGCTTTCTAGACTCTGCCTTCTCACCTTCAGTGCCATAATTACATGTCACCTGGAGCATAGAATCTCCTCAACTAACATGAGGTAATAGAAAACATTACCAATACGAAAATAACGATACTAAAGATAAAACACAGGGAAAACAAAATGCTATCAGAGTATGCAGTGTGTGCGATAATGAGTGAGATAGCTTGATAGGAAGGGACAAAGAAACCCACAAGATTAGAGTATTTGAGGTCAGTTCTTTGCCATGTAAACTAGTGTATCCAACCAAACGAGTTCATCGTTATTTCGTACTTCAGACTGGCAATCGGGAGACACCAACCGATACCAAATTCGGTGGGGGAATCCGACTTTCTGTTGACCACGTCAGCCTTCTGCCTCCCCTCTTCATCTTCTATCTAAACTCTCTTCGCGCAAACAACCCACATACATGAGTCTGTGTACTCGCAAGCGCAACACATGGACCAGACATCGGAGCCTGGCGGGTGATATAACCGTGCTCAGCGGTTCACTGGCTCCTCTTGCATAGAATACACGATATCGAACACATGCATTGAACACGTGGTGTTGCCATCAGATATGAGCTAAACTGCTAAGGAAGCGATGGTCGAACGTATCTCGCCTATTTGGGTCTTCCTTCTGATGAAATAGGTTTAGCAGTCTTACGCACGGGTGCATCGGAAAATCGCCACTTATTGCGAGAATGAAACCGCGCCGGCATCACCTGCAGCGGAGATGAAAAACAACGTCTGGAGCTTTTGCTACACGGTTCGTAAAATACTACTATTCCAAATCTGACAAAAGAGGTCCAGTAAAATAAAATTGTATACAACTTGCAGCTGCTAACGGCAAAGGATTTTTATTGTATTAGGCAAGCAAAACATCCCAGTGTTCTTCAAATTGTTGCTTGGATTCCTTCTATAACGTAGGACGAAAAAGTAAATCCGACCGATACGAATGATGGCTTAATCCGCCAAACTGTGCACGGATACAAGAAGACGCACTCCCAGTCATACGCGCGAACAGGCTTAGTGTCAAAAAAAATAACGCGAGCAATACTTCCAGCATAGGAGAAACGTGATAGACAAAATGCAGGGTGCGCAAATTCCTGAGCGCAATGTCCTAATAGGAAGTAAAGGAAGAATTGCCATTATTGATCCGAGTATCAAAACGATTTCAGTACGCTGCTTTTTAATTTATTAGTTCGTAACTCCCTGTATTCGTTCTCACTGCTTATGATGCCCACATATTATATTTGTTCCTGGCCTGTTAGAACAGACAACCACATTTATGTGTTCCATCAAAAGTCTCACCACATTTATTGGATTGCCCAACCAGTCTATAACACTTCTCTTCGCATCATTTTGGCAGTGGACAATTTTCGATGTGTATTCCAACTGACACATTTTAGCACATCCAGGATAAAGTAAACAAAGCCATCCCCTGTTCGACTACTCGCTTTAAGTGTAGATTTTCGATTGCTTGCACAGCATCTTAACATCATTTTCTTACCACATTTATCTTTCCATTTGCTGAACTCAAACAAAGTTTGCAACACCACAGCTGAACCTTTACCTAGGTTTCGTAAAATCCTATCTTACATTTTACCTAATTATTAGGATTTTATATCAATGTTAATCATCATTACATTCACACTGCTCGTGGAAAATATGAACCTGTTCCCAGTCGGATGCATAAGGCCTATATAGATTCGACATGACTAGATAGATTCACTTAGTCGTGCTCCACCAGTATACGGCCGTATTTAGAACACGATGGGATCAGTACTAGCTTCACTAAACCTACATTGGAGTAGATACACGTCTGAAATGTATACAATGCCGTGATTACCTGGTCATCTGGTGATTCACGAATCACTGATAAGCATTATGGAGATGCAAGCATGACAGTACATTGCACTAGCAAATCAAAGGATTGACAAGGCTTTGATGCTGAGAGGATAGGTTACGGCATATAATACGTAAACTAAGTGCCAAACACTGCTTGAAGCCGCATACAAACGGTGGGAAAATATGTCTTGTTGAATCTCTATGTTCTGACGGAAACGATAAGATCCAATATGCACAAAGTAATTTGTGATAGATCTAGGCAATCAGTGAAACGAGACGGATTCACTTGAGGATGCAAGCGGCTTGTTTGCCGCAAGCAAATGGTGCAGATGACTGGAGGTCCAACGCATCTACTGCTCAGCACAGATTGATCAATGCGTTGCTGCGTTGGAGTGAGTTTGCCTGCTTGAAGAAAGGGATGTAACTCATGAATAAAACAGGGTCGTTAGCTATGGAAGCATGCTACAAATGTTGTCACTTCCGTGTGACTGATTTGTTGAACGAACCGTTTGTCCCTGAAGAATCGAAGTCTAAGGCAAAATTACCCGAAGGTTACGGGATCAATAACTAGTATTCAACATGTTTTAACCGAGATATTTAGTTAGCCACTAGTGGATCGCAATTGCCACTGT